GGCAGGCGAGGAGCGGCCTCTAGGCTGAAGCACTGCCTCACCTTACGTGAAGTTTCTGGCTCTTCATTCTTATGTCGGATTTCCCCACACCTAATGTCTTTCCTACAAATGCTCAGTCATCACTAATTTCCTGGAAACCAGACTGGGGCAGCTGCTGCCGCTTCCTGTCCCAAGTGCTGGAATGGGAGCAGCTCCAGTGCCTCCCGGGACACCGGTCCATATGCTTGTGAGCCGGGCCCAGGGTCAACCCTGAGGGGGAAACGCCTGCGTGTGGCTCTGGTGGCCAGCGCGTGACTGCGTGACTCAGCAGCGGCAGGACAGGCACAGCACCCACAGAACCTACTTCATGGCCAGAGAGTGGATGTTTTCCATTTCAAGGGTCAGTCAGCCAGGTGGGGGCCAAGTTGGGGCCAGATGCAGACCAGTTTTCTGGGTCAGGGCTCATGTCACACGGCCGGCTGGCCAAGTGGCATGCCATAAAGACTGTTCTTCGGGTGGAGTGGGGGGGGGCGGAGGGTGAGGGACTAGGACTCCAAGTCATTTCAGAGGAGCATGAAGAAAAAGGAAAGGGGCTAGGGAGATCACCCTGTTGGCTTGGAGAAAAAGGATGGGAAATGCTTTGAATGTGGACCTACCCAAACCCTGAGGGACCAAACACACCCACAGGACTGCCTGGAGGGGTGCTGCAGACGCAGACTGTTGGGGGTGAAGACCAGGGACACGGTGGTCACTGGCTCCCTTCCCTGGCTGAACTCACTGCTCAGCTCTCAAAGTCACAGTCAGTGCTGAGGCACCTGACCCAGACACATCTGTCTGTCTAATGACAGCACTCCTGAGGTCCCAGGTCTAGGGGTACAGTCCCCATCTCGGCTGGACGGAGGCATGTCTGCATCCTTCTGTCACTAGCCCACTGGGCAGCAGTGGGCAGCTTTTCCCAGCTCCTGCTGTCACAGCCTGTCCCAGAGTGGTTGTGTTTTAATTCACCCCTGGGGTCCTTGGATAACTCCTCTCCAGAGAGGAGGGAAGCACGGGGTTGGGGGAGGGGCCTGGGGCAGGCACTGCTTTGTTGCCTCACCTGCTTTAAGTACTAAGTTCTCCTCCTGCCTCCAACTCCTGAACCTGATGGGAATAGAAGAGCCACTCTCCCCAGGCTGCACGACACTCCTGCCCTAGGGGCCAGCAGGCCGCTCTTCTGTCACCTGGGCTCTGACGGGCTGTTCTTTATTTAAAGCAAGTGGACATGCTGGTGGAGAGGGGCCGTCCTCTGCCCAGGCAAAAAGCCTGGGAAAGAAGACAATTTTTCTGCCAGCCCTTTTCCTTCAAGACATCTACTGGCACACCTTGTTTTATTGTGCTTCACAGGTGCTTTTTTTTTTGTTTTTCAAACCGAAAGCAAGACCTTCCACCAGCAAAAAGATGACTACTCACTTTATGGCGATCTGCACTTTATTACAGAGGTCTGGAAGCAAACCTGCGCGTCTCCGAGATCTGCCTGCAGTAATGTTACGGGAAGGAGAGAAGAATTCTTACTAGATAGCAGTGACTCTCTTCCCACAACAAAGAAGGGATGATGGCCTGGACAGGACAGGAAGAGCAGAGGGAACACGCCCAGCTGGAAGCCCGCTGGGTGGGCAGCTGGTCCTGCTGCTGGGCCTTGTCAAAGATGGGTGCCTCCCTCCAGTCCTTGATTTTGTGGGCACATCCCAGGCCCCTGAGGGTGTGAGCTTACTTACTGAGGGGAAAAATGACCCTCTTTCACACAGGAGAAAAAAAATAATCGCTAACTTTATTCTGGTTGTTGGCCACACCAGGAGTACAAATGGCAGGGGGCGGCGGGGGGGGGGGGCGGTAAATGGAGTGTACTCTACCACAACGGAAGAAAGGTATTTTCTACTTGTTTCCCTCTTTCCTTTGCTCGAATGACTCTATAAAGTCTAACAGTCAGGAATAGGGTGGGTGGGGCTCTTCACCTACACAGGGGAACTTTACATTTATATGTAAACCACTGCAAAGTCAGCACAAAGGGGCTCTCATTCCTCTCCACCAGAAAACGTCCTTTCTTGAGGCTTCTTCCAAACCTCCTCGCACAGCAGCACTTGGCAGGGCCTGGGGCTGCTCTCACATCTTCCAGGAGCAGCGGCTGAGGCCTTTCTGAGGTGGTTTGTTTGAAGACACTCTGGGGCTGCCACCCCTCAGGAGTTAAGGCTCTGGCTCCTCTGGGCTGCAGATGAGGCAGCAGGGTAGATGGGGCATACCATCTCTGAGCCGGGAGTGCTGGTTTGTTCCCAAGTGGTGTATGGCGCCCGTGCTGACCCAGGCCCAGCACTACCCAGCCCCAGGCACACACCCAGAGCCCCAGCCTGTCTGAATGTCTGGGAACACTGCCTGTCTACAGTGGTCTATATCTAGTAAGGTAAGATCCCGAAACAGATGATTCAGCCCAACATTTAAAATAATTAAAAATAAACACCCAACTTCGTTGGCTCAGCAGATAGACCTGACATGACCTTGGGCAGTGGGAAGCCAGCCCCTGGCGATGCTGGGACTCCCTTGCTCTCAGTCTTCCTTGGGTTTCTTACCCTTCTTCAAGATGAATGTTAGTTATCATCATGGAAGATGTGGGTGCATCTGCACAGGCCCTGATTGAAGAATCTCAGACCCTTCAATGTACTGCCTTCCCTATCCTGTGGGTTGGTTACCAGCCCAGGTGAGACAGAGGCAGGTAGGCACTGGCCAGTGAAGTGATGGGCCTAAGGCTACGTGTGAAGTGGGGAAGAGGCAGAGACAAGCTCCATGCCTGAACGCTGACCTCGACCTTGCCTTACATCCCCACTGCCTTCATATGTGGACAGGCACCAAACCTCATCTACACTGTTTCTTTCATGAGAGCTGTGTGAGGAGGCTCCACTCTCAAAGGCACTCCAGAGGCCCCCCCCCACCCCGGGCCTGTGGGACGCTCCATCTGCCACTTTGCAGACCGTTTGATAGAGCCGTAGCCTTCCAGGCTCCAGGATGTTGACTGCTGCAGGAAGATCCTCAACTTGGATCCTGCTTAGCTCTCAGGCCTGGATCAAACCACAACTGGTCCCACATGGGGCCAAAGGCTGAAATCCAGCCTCCTTTGAACTAGATGTCCACGCAGGTTCAGAAAGGACACGCTGGGGGCAGGAGGAAAGGAGTGTGAGCGTGCATTCACATATGTGTGCGTCATGGGACACTATCTCCCCTTCCATGTCTGTCCTGGTCACAGGTGGCTTCTCAAGGACAGGGTGGGGAGTCCAGCTTCCCTGTTTAAGACCAGCTGCATGAAGACCTCAGGGCAGGGGACACAAGGAGGGGGTCTGTCACGAAATGCTACAGGCCACCTAGGAGCGTCACTGTAGGGCGTCTGTGACCCCAGGCACCTGGTCTAACAGACTCCTTGGTTCTGTGTGCCAAGGTGTGGCTCTGGCCACCCCCTGAGCTGGTGCTTTGGTGGGACATGACCCACCTAGGAGGATGGTTTCTTACCCTCCTCATTGAGCATCACTTGGAGGAGGACCTTCCGATCAGGTAACAGGAAGGAGGAGGGGTCTCCTTAAGTGGGCCGGTTTGGCCAGTTTGTAAAGTGTAATGCAATGGCACATTCTCCCTTTACCATTTTCTACTCTGTTTTCTAAGAAGGGACCATGAGAATTCAGAGTTCAGGAGGGATTTCGAAACCATGAGACATGGTGGTTTCTTGGAAAGAAAGGGGGCACGTGCTTCTGATGGGCTGTTTCCTGGGGCTCCACAGTGTTCCTGACCGCCCACCTAACACAGCCACCGATTCCTGCCACCGGGGCTGTGAACTGTAGCCAAATCCTGCCTGCTTCCAGCGCTAATCAAAGTGAGCCCTCTGAGGAACAAAAGGTGACAGACAGAAAAGTCCTCTTCTTTTCCAGCAGGCACGCATCATGACCCATCTTTTCTTTTAGGAATCTAGGGCGACTGTACATTCACCCAAGCTGGCTCTGTTGTTTCTAGCTAACATGTCCACATCTGGGTCAGCTAGGCCCCTTTCTTCTTCTGGAATAGCTGGCAATATAGCCAGAAGGCTCTGAGCAGCAGCTTCCAAGGCAGTGACCTCCAGCTGACCTCTAAGCTGGGCAAGGCTCACCTCCACCCATCTATTGACCTTTTTTCTCTTTCTCATTACTGCTCCAGAGGAAAGCACCCTGTCTTTGGGATTAGCTCTGTGGATCATGAAGTCAGCTACACTCCTGATGGGTCAACACACCAAGGGTGGAGCACAGGGCTGGGCTGTGCCTCCGTTTGGAAAATCAGCCCAGGAGGCTTCTTGTAGCAAAGAGAGGAGAATTAGCTAGGATTATTCCCTTCAGTCTCTCGGGGATGTTTCCAGTTTGAAGAAGGGTGACGTCAGCTCTCTGAGACCATATGCACTGAATGTACTTGGGAACACAGATACACCTGAATGGTTAGGCCTGCATGCTGTAGGCCCTATATTCTGGGCTCCCAGGACGGCTGTCAAAGGCCAGAGCCCAGGTAGGCTGGTAAGCAGTACGGGCGAGGAAAGCTGCCAGGACACAAGATCACTCTGTCTTGGAGAATCTCTAGGACACGCTTCCTCTCTTCACAAGGGTGTACTGGGACTTGGTTTTGCAGAGGAGCTTCTTACCACACTGGGTTGCTTCTGACATTTTCTCAAGTTTTAACAGTTGATGGCTGAGCCAGGATAATATGGAGAACTAAAACAAGTACTAAACTAAAAAAAAATAAAGTCCCCTTTAAACCACCTTGTATACACCCGCACATACACTGGATACATAGTGACTTGTATAGATGCCACCCTACATAAAAAAGGCAGGTGGTAGATCACTGAAATGCATCCTGGCTTACTGCCAAGTCTAGTACAGACTTAAAAAAATACACTGTTTCTTTTAAACCTTTTATTGTGCACAAAATGACCCATTCCCCTTTGTAGCTCAGTTGTTACCACCTTTGAAATTTTTTTCATTAACTTTTCTCTACTTCCTGCACCACTGAGAATTTTCTTCTCTTTGGAAAGGATAAATAGTCTATCACCGCTGCTCAAAAGCAGCTGGAGGATGGCCCCTGGAGACAAAGGCCCAAAGGCATCATCTGAGCAGGTCAGAACCCCACACTGTGGGTTGGCCAGTCTTGCCACTGGTGACTGACTCTGGGGAGGGGTGCCAGCTGCTGCCCGCTTTCTGTGATGCTGAACTTGGCTGTCCACTGGGTTGGTCGGCCTTGTATGTGGGCTCACCTGACCGCTGGCATTTCAGGTAAATACATATCCTGTTCCCTCTGCCCTGGAGGGAACTTAACTCTCAGGAAGAAAACCCGGCTAGAGCTGCATGCATTTCCAGAGCTGGAAAGCATTTCATGCAGCATGTCACCAGGGACTAAAGAAACTGCAAACTAGTGGTTGTGACATGGGAGTTGTAAAAAGAAGTGCTGTACTAGAACCTGAAGTTGTGACACTGTTGGGAATGGAGAGCTGAGAAACATTTTATGGGCTTATGGATTTTGAAAGCTTCTCTGTGAAGTCTTTAGCCCCCTCTGTAGTGGCTGAAGGCAGCAGTGTGTGCTGTGGAAGGTTGCAGCAAGGGGCAGACAGTAACACCCGCTGCTCCTGCTCCATTAGGCTACTCAGAGGTCACTATGGCCACATCCCTTCCCAGCCACTTCCTTGTTCTGGGTTAGCAGGAGTTACAGGGATGGGGGCAACTCTCCTGGGGCTTGGTCAGGTGTGGTGGCCTTTAAGAGGGGAGGGTTAGGGAAAAGGCCACACAGACGATGAAGGTCCTGTCCCAAGTCGAATTTTATTAAAAGGTTGGGGTCTAAAGATGGAATCTAGGACACCTCCTCTCCCCCTTTTAAAAAAAGAGAATAAAAACAGAGACTCTGCCTGTCTCACCAGCAAACAGGAAGTGAAGAAGTCAGAGCTGCGGGGGCTGCTAGTAGCACGCCTCCTGGATTTCCACAGGAGGGAGATGGCAGCTTTTAGACAAAGTGAAGATAAAGACAGGTTCTTTGCTCCTTTGTAGTGAGAATGAGTGTTCAAGTTGAGGCACGGTGTGGTTCCCCAAGTTCCAAGGTCAGCACGGATGCCGACCCACCCTGCTCTCAGGCGGCCTTGAAGAGTTGCCAGGCGTCCGTCGTCTCTACATTGGCCCCTCTTCACAGGAGTTGGCCGGAGGATCCTCCCAGACTGGCCTGGTGCTGGCGGGCCCCCTTCCTGGGCTGACTGGGCACTCATTCTGTGGATGGACAAGCACTGCCCCACCAGGTCTCCTCAGACAGTGGCTCTGTGAGCTGTACACAGCCAGCCTCTAGCTGAACCATGAGGAATGAGCCGAGTTTGGCTCAAGGGGCTGGTTACATGGTGCTTAGCATCCTGTCTCCCCATGAAGACCCAGGTACCGGGATGTTTGGGCTGGAGCTGTTACCTGTGAGTGAGAAACTGACCGAGACCCCAGTACCTGCTACACCACCTGCCTTTCTATCCCGGTGGCTCTGAGGCTGGGCTGAGGTATCCTCATCAGCCAGACCGATGACAAGGTCCCACCAGGCACTGTCTCAGCCAGTCTGGAAGAGAGCTTACCCCAACTTTCTTTAATAAATGTGTTGTGGAAGCTGACACCCCGTCACTCAAACAGAAAAAAATATGGGTCTTACAGAGCCAGCGTTCCCATGGGGGGAGACAAGGCACCTGTGCCTGCTGGTCTGGCCTCAGACAGGGCTGAAATGTCTCCTCGACACGTGGGAGGTGCAAGTTTTGTGCCAGAGTGAGAACAGGGTGCCAGGTGAAGGAAGAGGAGCTGGACACAAAGCACAGGAGGGACAGAAGCGTGGTGGGCAGGGGCCCCCTGCGAGGGTCTCAGCTGTTCCCTGAGGCCAGCTGGGCAGCAACACCACGAAGAAGGCTAATAAATAGATGGCTGTAACAGTGTTCAGTCAGGCTGGGATGGGACACCTCTGTCACTCCCACAGCAGGTGCCAGGTGATCAGTGTCTCTAGTACAGATATAAAAATGAAATTGCTTCAAGTATTAAAAAAAAAATAAGTTAATTGACAAAAAGGGTCCAAAGCGGCTGAGTGTCTTGCCAGGTTGTCAGCTTCATTTCAATGTGCAAACGCAGGAAAAACACCGAGGAGGATGACTCCTGCCCCGACCTGAGCCGTGAACAGGGCCAACACCTGTCTGTCAGCTGGGGGCTTGAAACAGCCTCACCCCTGTCCTCCAAAGTCAGCATTTTCCAGTGTTAAAACAGTTGTGACTTAAAAGCAAAATGCAGCAATCCACAAGCCTCAGGCCACAGTCAGAAGGGCCTGGGGCATTTGGCCACATTGGTCCAGTGTGTGGGGTGGGCCGGGAGCAGGCCCCTCCTGGATCCTCTTTACTTGCATAACGAACTCAGGAGCCGGGCCCCCTGGCTTCCCTGCAATGCTGGGGCAGCCGTCACCTGTACTGGCCATGGCCCTTCCTGGTCTTGAGTCACATGTGGCTTTCCTGGGCTATCTCCTTCACTTCTTTGGTGGTGCTTCAGGGAGCATGAAGACAGTTGTCTCCTCCTCTCTGTGGGGTGCACTCTGGTGGCTGTGGTTCTGACCGGGGGGCAGCATCCTTCTCTGATTAGACGTGCCTGTGCAAGGAGCGCCCGTCACCACACATCTCGGGGCACGTGCAGGTCTTTCTTCCCCCATGTTATGCTCCATGATCGTCTCTCCCTGAAGCGAGCAGGAAGTCAGGCCAGGTCTCTTTGAGGAGGTGGAGCCACCTCAGTAATCACCTTCACCTGGGGTCCCCCACAGCACACACTTGACCCGCTTCCAAGAGGCACGTGGACACTGAGCGCCAACTCCCAGGAGGTGCCAGGCCTTTTCAGACCTCGGATCCGGGGGTCTGGGAGAGCCCAGCTTGGGTCAGGCGGATGTACAGGCCAGCCGGCCACAGCGTGGGTGGGAGCTCAGGACCAGTTCAGGCTGAAGCCCTTTGACAGCATGACAGCCTCCAGGTCCTTGTCCTCCTCCTTCTCCCGGAGCCGCTGCTCCTCCAGCAGGGCTACGAGGGCGTCTCTCTGCTCCACCACCTCCAGCATCTCGTTCAGGATCTTCTTTTCCTCCGACAGCTCCTCCTCGGTCTTCAGGTGATCTGGGTAGTGGCCGTAGACGTTAGGTCTGCAAGGCCAGGAACAGCAGACCCCTGCCCCCCCACGCAGCCCACCTGGCGCCCCTTACCTTCCACCGCCATCCGCTCCCGCAGCTCCTGCTGCAGTCGGCTCTGCCGGTCCTCCAGTTCCAGCTCCCTGGCACTGGATGGCGGGGGG